GCCGCGGGGCACGTGTGGGGATGTCTGACAAAATTACAACGCGCATTTGGGGCATTGTTGTATATATTAGAAGCTTTTAATCCAGAATTGATCGATGTTACCATGAGCCACAAACAGTACACTGCAAAAAAAAAAAAAAAAAACTGTAAAAAACGAACTTTCAAAAGGGCACATTGCTGTCCAGAGGGCAAAACGGGCCCCGTTTTGCCCTCTGGACAGCAATGTGCCCTTTTGAAAGTTCGTTTTTTACAGTTTTTTTTTTTTTTTTTTGCAGTGTACTGTTTGTGGCTCATGGTANTAAAGAGAGAAAACAATGAACTGGTTCGAAGGTTGAATACCTAAGCAAATTATTCCCTAACATATACGATGTACATTTCAACATACACATGTAGAACTAAATCCCTCAGGTTGAGGAGTCCAAAAGGTTTTTTCACTGGTAAACAGAAAAGAAGCCATTTTTATTTTATAATACTACCAACTATAATGGTCAATTTACATGGTTACCACGAGCAACACGCACTTCCAATGTCTCTTTCTATCTGTTTCCACCCGACTGCGAGGCAAATTTTATGCAAACCTTTTGAAATGTCAGGGGAAATAAAATGTGAATTCAGACTATTTTCTATCACCTTGGTGGAAACAAATAGATTGGCTTCTTGAATGTCAACAACACATCTGCATGGAAACGGGGTGAACTGAATAAAAAGTGTGAAAGTGGCGGTTGTTACTGTTTGTTGTTTGTTTAACCTCAAGACAACAACAATTGTTCACGCTGCAATTTGCTAATACACAAGATTAATGTAGAAAAACTAAACCAGATCGTCAGTGCGCGAGAGACATTATTTAACAAGTCACGAACGGTTTGCATAAATATATTTCAAACACAGAAATTACCCCTCTTTGCGACACCAGAGGAGAATTAAGTGGATTTTCCCAGTTCACTTTTTTATTTTTTATTTAACACGTAATTTGCAAAATATGCTTTGATGAAATCACGTCTATTGTCTGGCTCTCATTTTCGAGCCTCCCTCGATGGCTGCCTGCCGCACCCTCTCCACATTTGTGTGACATTGAGTTGAGAACAATTCATTGGCACACACAAAAATAGAGACAGAAATGACAAAAGCCTCCACAGACTACATAAAGAGGAGGTCGCAGACTGTCAGCAGGAACACATAGAGGAAGCAGAGGAATGCATTCACATTGTTTGTTTGAGAGGAGGCACTCAAGGACGATGGTTTCCTAAAGCAAGAATTAAAAGAGGCGTGTTGCAGCAGTGTCACACTGAAATGGAAATAGAGTGGTGTAAAGAGAGCAAGAGACGGTTGAATAAAGGAAATAACAAAGGCTACACTAACATGTACACTATTATAGAATAGACCACATTTAAATGTGAATAAAGAAGGTTAAATTTCAAGGAGCCGATATGCTCCTTCACTGCTTTTCACATTTTACAGACGTCAGGTTAGAGAAGCTGTGTCCAACCATTTCTGACTCTTTTCAAAAACCAATGATCGATTATTCACACCCACTTCACACAGAGATTTGTCAGCTGTGTGCCGGTGAGAAAATGCTGTAAGCAGGGATTCAAGTTCCCTTTCGAGCTCTTCTCCCACCCTTTACACAACAATGTACAGTATGTCATCTTTCATAGAGCCCAACACTGTGAGTCTCTTCAAGTAAAGACAGATTGTATATGGTTATCCATATATTAAATGACATCATACCCCCAGCCTATGTTATTTTAAAGCAGCTTGAAAGCCTTAGAAAATGTCTATAAAAACATTTGAATGTTTCAAAATGTCCTGTTTAAATAATGTACAGTATTTACAGTTTAGAGACAGAAGAAACCACCAGCTGGTCAACACTTCCACTCTGGTTTTTTCCCGTGGTTGTTGAGCTCCTCTTCGTCTCTCATTTCCCTTTGTGCTTCTTGAACAGAGCGTACAGGACCTTCAAGGTGGCAGTGACGTCCTGAGACACAATATCTGTCAGGAAACATTTAATGAGTATTTATAATGCACCATCAGCACCCACCAAGTCATTGAGGCAGTGAAATGCTTTTACTAACATTGGCTCATAACTAATCCCACACTCACATCCAAACAGGCCGTAGATCAGGAGGGCAAAACATTAGATGGAAATGTCATCAATACGCCCTTGGAATAAAATTGCACTCTGTTGTGAGAGGCACTAACTGAATGAAAGTGACATTAAGATGGACTCCACCATTGGATAACCTAATTCATGCACGCACCGCGCTCCCATTTTAGACCCTTAGTTCCTCTTTCCATTGCAGCAATTATGCCGGTAATTAAAAAGACACTTAAAATGGATTAAATTAGCCCCTTGCTCCTGGCTTAGATTAATTGTGCTAGTCTTTATGAACAGTTATCATGTTGGGGGGGTTTACTTTACAATTACAGGCTGTATGGCTGGCAGGCAATATTGTGGGGAAGTTTTAGATTGTGATTCAAGCTGGGAGAGAATACAGAGGGCGTCTTGTCAATAATGGATCAGCAGGGAAGTGGAGTGGATCCATTTTATATTGATTGATCCACACACTTAGATAAGTCGGCAGCTCACTGACTCACTCACTACTTATTTTTTAATTGATTTACTCCACATGACCTAAAGTGGAAGCCCAAACATTACACCTGTATGTCATTGTTGATCTCAATGTCTTTCCAAAACCACAGGCTTCAACATGTAGCAATAACAGTCTTCTATATGACACGCCTTGTATTTAGGATTTATATATTTTATTGCAACCTGGCAGCAGGGATTTACTTCCATTCAGCCACAGGAGCATTAGTGAGGTCGGTGTTACAGTTCATCCCGAGGATTGGTTGAAGTCAGGGCTCTGTCACTGAGCTGGCTTTTCCACAACAAGCTGGGAAAAACATCTCTGTGTAGACCAGGTTTTATTTATGTTAAGATATTGAAGGATTATGATATTTCTTTTTAAAAGCACTGCTTCGGATTCAGCGGGTTGCTCCCTATTCTACCACCAAACCCTTTTGACAGTTTGCTCGTCTTGTATTTTATGCATTTATTCATTTTTTTATAAACTGAAAGTGAAAATGTAGTTAATAAGTGCAAAATTCTTTACCCTATTTACAGTTTTAGCTCAAATATATATTTTTTCAACCAGATATATGAACACCAGCCTGCCAAGAACCATGTGCTTACATTATTAAACCCAGAAGAAAGCAGAATTTCCCAAAATTGCCCACAACGTAACACTTTCACAGTTGTGTAATTATTAACATGTTTGGTAACACTTGTAAGCTTATGCCACAAACTTCAGATTGTACGGTAGAAAATCTGATAACATTGCAGCTGCGAATTGGAACTGACAAACAGAAACTTTAATGAGGACTTTTTACAGATACATCCTCGGATCTGGCTGATAACTGGATACAGTAGCACAACTCATAAATACAGATATCATATCTTCCACACACACACACACACACACACACACACACACACACACACACACACACACACACACACACACACACACACACACACACACACACACACACACACACACACACAGTAGATGCAGGCAAAGCTACAGTTTAAATCTCTGTGTCTATCATTGGGCTCCATGGTTCCCCTGGAGACAGTTTCCCTCGCCTCTCCTCCCTAAATGAATGATGATGACCCTGGACTGAGCCAATCATCTGCAGTGATACTCATCGAGACACCAGTCCCACTCATTTATATTCCGTAAGCAACTCCATCTTTCCCTCCAAAACACTGTCAACCCCACACTCCAGCGAGCACTGCAGATTAACTCAAACCGGCACAACAACCCCCTCCCCTTCGCCTAATATACAAACTGATTCCGGCGTTTTCCTGTCACACAGATAAATGCTCTTGATATCTGATATCATCTGAATTAGTAGCTTGTCTTGGAGCTCTGCTGTTTTTCTGTTGCAATCATTTCACTCGCCAGCACTTCGGGGTTTTTTTCATGCTCTGTGCCTGGCATTTTAATTTGAGTAAAGTCTGTTTTCAACAAGGCAGAGTGTATACATTGTGTGTGTTATTTCCTCACCTTGTGGATCAACACTGGACACTTTCAGGCCTAAATTATTAAGGAGATCCAAGGCCAAGGTCACATTGTGAACCTAGAGGTCGGAGATAAGAGAAATTGTCAAATACAAAATCAGGAAACAACATTTTTGTTGTAAAGTTCACCAACAAATGTGTTAAAATAAACTTTTAGAGACAATATGAAGGATATCCCCTTATGTTGTCATATATAATTGTTGCGTTACATTACAGTATTTGTACAGTAAGTAGTAAAACGTATAGTCAACAATCTAGTTAGTGGTGGAAAGAAGTATAGAAGAATGGTTCATCACAGAATAATATATATTGTATAATATTTTGAATCAGATATGTCCTATTTGTTGAGTTTTAAATATTGATGATAGTCAAATGTAATATATTGGTTGTAAAATTGAAATGTGGTCACCATACAGATATAATTAGCACATATTAACTTATTATGAATCAGGATATTAAATATTGTGTTTATAACCCGAAGCTCTTTAGTTATCAAATGGAATTCAGAGTCTCTTTTTCCTTCTGTCGTAAGTTATTCATAAACTCTTCATATCTATGATAAAAGAGTCATAACTTTTTCATAGACTCGTCCTATCTCTTCAAGTAAAGTGAGATCAAAGATATTATTATAAGTGACACAGAAGTAATTATGGATCTACTTTTATATGGGACTTGTAAAATATTAATTTAATCATATCTTCTTCTGTAATAAGCCCGATTTGAGATCAGGCTTCAGAAATGTAACTCATCTTCCTATTTGCTGTGGTAAATTAAACTCAAATTAGAATATGTATGATATAACAGTAGTACTTTTGAACTAGAACAATCATCAACTAATCTGTGAGCAACTACAAGCAGAATAATGATTACAATACCACTTTTCTGAGGATTATTTCCCTTACAAAGTGTCAGGAATATGTATTACATCCTGGATTCATACTGTACCATCTCAGAGTGATTGACAGGCGTCAGATTGAAGTCACAGAGCGGGATGAAGAAGCCTTCCAGCTGTCCGATCAGCAGCAGCAGAATCACACCGTCAGCAAACTACACAGGAAATACACCAGACATTGGAAGGTGATATAATCGAAGGAGGGTTATATAATCTCAGAGAAGCCATCTCTTATTTTTGCTCATAAACAATGTTGTCTTTGCAGATTTGTGCTGTTGTTTTTATACCTGTTTGTCCATATTAGCCACCTGCAGACCCAGCGTTTGCATGTTCTGGTTGACAAAGTATAAGATGGCCTGTCAAATAAAAATAAAAATAGGTAAGGCAGTTGGTTGATCTCATTAAGATGACATATCCATGTATCAAAAATATTAAATGCTCAAATAAATAAATTTAAAAAATCAATAATGAGAATAATTGTGTTCAAACTCTTCTTGACATTTTATTTGGTTTGAGTTCTTACTACATAACACCAAAGACGCACTCTATTCTGAGTTGATCTGTTTTCAGGAGTCACTTATTATGTCTCAACACCACATCCATTGCTCTCTTCCTACCAGAGGAGAAGAGACAGTTAACTCCTCCCCTCGTTATTGTACCTTCTTCACCGTGTTGACCTTGTGAGCCTCAAGCTTCAGCAGTTTGTCGATGGGATCTTCCCCTGGGTGAAAAGACAGCCAGAAGAATGTGTTAATGTCATCGAGGGCTTTAATGCTGCTTCAACGAAATTCAAAATGTCAAATCCGCTCAACCTCCGACACTTTTTTTACACACTTTCACTCTTCATAAGGGATTCTGGCCCTGCTTCCCTGTTGAGAAAGAAAAACATATAAGCTGTTTTTCCAGACATCCACAGATTCACACCGGACAAAAATCTGCTCACCTCTCGTCTGTCAGGACCTCCGTCTGTACATCGGATTTGATTCCACTTTTGCTCACCTGCATAAGGATTAAACATGATTGAAAATCAATCCCACAAGGTGTGTCTTAGTCTAACTAAGATTTGAAGCAGGGGGGGGGGCTGAAACTCACCTCCATAATAATAACTTCAACATTCACATTGGGAGGCAAATCCAGATCAGGCTGGAAAGATCTCACCATGGCAACCAGCAGATGAATAGTGGCCAAAAGGTCTTTGTTGTGGATGACTGACAGGCGAACAGCAGAGAACAAACAAACACACACACAAAATGACTTGCTTGCTCCTGATGTGACAGAAATCATCACCTCCCAGAAAAGCAACAAAGAAAGGCCAAAAGGATTTGAATCTAATAAATAAATGAACACCCAAATGAAATACAAAATAATACTGGAAACTTGAGATACAATCCTTAAAAATACAAATTAATTTTAAACCTATTTTTATCATTTATGGTCTTAATGTTTCAGATATAACAAGTGTATGTATTTATACAATAGGGACATTTTATTTGTATTATAAGGGGAAAAACATTACTCACATATTGAGACCAACAAATATACGTTGATCTCACAGTTAAGTTGTTCTTTATACTACAAGTGTTGCTGGAGTGTTGATCGCTTCTGTCTTTCTATACCGTTCGAAGCCTTTTTACAACGCATTCACCCATTAACACACACAAGGGCTGACATACAAGGTGCAGAACTGCTCATCAGAATCTAATGCAGAAACACACACACTCAAAACAATGTCTATGCCTTCGGGAGGAATTTGGGGTTCAGTATCGGGTCCATCAATAGAGGAGCTGGGGATTAGAAGCTGATGTTGCTCATTCTACTCCACCTGACTCTGCCTATGCTGCTGTAATACATTCTACAGCTGCTCAAGGGAGTGTCAACGTCTTGTATGTATTCTTATTACGGTTATCAAATGTGTAAATATTATAAATAAGAAGGGAAAGAAGAAGAAGAAGAAGAGCAGGAGGAAACTCCTAGCTAAATGTCCAGCTGCTAATAAAATTAAAGTTGGGACCATTCTTTGGTTTCCTATCCAAGCACAAAGACAAATAATCCACTGACAGGTGACTAGAAACAGAACCCCATCGTGTTTATCTCCACCAGAATCCCTCACAGCTGGTGTAAGCCAACATGGCACCCTTGAGCCAGCACCAAATCCTGTTGTAATTCAAAGTTGTTGCCAGAACAGAACATTTGTTGCTTTCGTTGCTGAAGCCCAGCTGCATGACTCACGTTTGACGTTCCACTTGATCGGGCTGTCGTCCTGCAGGCCCAGTCTCTGGTCCAGCTCCTCCAGGACCAGTCCCAGCTTGCGTATCTGAGCAGGGCTGGTCAGCGCCATCTCCTCCACGGGCACATCCACCCCGGCCAGCCTGGCTGTGGAGATCAGAAGATTATTATTAGGGCCTGAGCTCGACTGAGTCGGAGGGAAGACCTATTGAAATCCTTGGGATTCTTTTTCTTTCTACCAAATGAATTAGCATGCTCAAAAGACAGAGATTTTTTGCACACTTGACAGGTCTGGTGAAAAATGTGATCAGAAGACTTAGAGAATCACAACTTATCCTTTAGTTTTTGTCGATATCGTACGATCTTGCCGTGGCGTGGGGGAGATAAACATCTCACGTCAAGACCAGGGTCAAGACATGTCAAGAAGGGAGTGTGTGTGTAAGTAAGGGGCCTCTGGCGGGCAGCGCAGCTTTCACATTATTCAGTTCTCTTTTAATCATGAAAGACAAATACAGATCAGATGCTTTGCTGAAAAGTATCCATTAGTGGGCGGTGAGGCAGAATTCTTAAAATATTGATAAAGTCTGTTTCCCTTACTCTGAGGAGGGAAGCTATTAAAATGACTATTCTAACTATATTAGAATGACTGAATTCTTTACCAGTGAGTTGCTATTATTCAGTGTGTGTGTGTGTGTGTGTGTGTGTGTGTGTGTGTGTGTGTGTGTGTGTGTGTGGTCAAGGAAAATCCTTGAAGTACCCCAACCCCGACTTGCGAAGGCCCGTTTATCGCTTCTTGCAGCTTTAACTATTATTATAGTTTGACTGACATATAAAGACTGCACTTTGTTTTAAATGACAAGCTTTATGGTGAACAACAAGGGGGATCATTTGTTATTTTTCTATCTTCAAATGTAATGATTAAATGAAAGTAAGCAATGATGACAGCACAGCCATTCAATGTGCATTAACTCACACAGCATGTGGTGAAGCACCAGACCATCGTACAGATCCTCCTCCAGACTCTGAACCACTATGTGTTCTGGTTTCAAAGTGCTATTGATCCAATTTACCAGCGCCTACCAAAACACAATTTATCACACAGTCAGATCGATCAAACACCTCATACATTTCTAATGTGCTAATGAAAAACAGCATGAAACCTTGTTTTTTATTAATTCTGTCCATCGATTTTCAGAGATAATACGATCCTGAAGTGGATGGAAATGATGACAAATTCAAAATACCCCTCCAAAATAGCTGATATTTGATTGGTGTGTTTTCCCATCTCTACATACGAAACATGTCAGGCTTATTGAATTATTTATTCATTCACTGCTGCTTGCATGAAGCACTTGTGCTGCCATCTTTTCCAATACAAACCTTGTCTTTAAGTCAGAACCAGCAGATTGTGCCGACTCCTCGCTGTGGATCTCTCATCTGTCTCCCATCACCTCTGATAATTATGTTCATTAAAATTTCACTGATCCTTCCACCTCTCTCCCTGAGGCAGATATTATTCATGCTCTTCTCTGCACAAATATACATGCAGGCTCTGTAATGTATTTTCTGAGTAGCATTAATCTCCAGCCCACTCAGGACAAACTCCCTGTGAGGTCCAGGATGAGTTTTGATGTTACAGTAAATGTAAAATAGAAGATGTCGGAATAATCTCTTACCTCTTTTAGCTTTGCAAGTTTGGGGTCTTTTAAAGCTGTTGGCTGAATGAGCTTCTGCTTCTCTTCTGTGTGAAACAAACTCCATCGGTTAAAGACACATTTTCTTATATATTTAAATGCTTAAACTTGGTAAATAACAGCTCTTTTATCATCCTAGAAAGTCAAATATTTTATTTATTGAGAGGCAACATCCCATGTGTTTGCGCCTTAAATGCAATATACAGTACACATGTACTTTACACTTTTAAATGCATGCCCTACATGCATTTTTCATTTCATTTTCATACGGTATGAAAAGGAATTAGCTGCAGTCGTGAAACTTGCATGAGCTGTGAAATAAATCATAAAAAGGACGATACAAATTGTGATGTGTATTATAATTATTAAACAATAAAGCCTGCAGATAACAGAGGGTTACTCAGAATAAGTATTTTTTCAATGTAAAATTCTCTCAAACCTTCCTATTTCAGGAGGAACTACTACAGTAAGAAGTAGTTCAATGCACATGTAGTTGTGAGTATCTTATCAAGAGAATCTTACAAAAAAAAATGTAAATGTATTCCACAAGTCTTGTTAAACATTGCCTGATATGAAGCAGTTTACTGAATGCACACATACCCTGAAAAGACTTGATGTCAACAGTGTCTTCCTCTTTGTGATACTCAAAGATGTCAGCCTCCATCTCTTTTCCTCAGGGTGAGATGTTCAACACCTGTCAGCAAAATCTGCTGAGAGAAAGTGCTTGAAAAATAAACCACAGAAGAATAAAGAAAGACCTTTTCCATCAACATGTTTTGCAGAAAGTCTCTTTCAAAAATGTCTCAGTAAGTGTCCTGAATTTCAAACTGCTGCAGGGTAGTTACTCTGACCAGCAGCGGAGAAGCTGAGTGCAGCTTATTGTTGCATGAAAGCCTTGTACCTCTACTTTTCTGTTTTCCTGGTAAAAGCACAACAGTCTTGTACCCAATGGATTTCTAGAATTGGGATTTGAAAGTAGTTTTTTCATGTCTGAGGGTGCTAACAGTTTTCAGCAACACAACAAAACTGGTCAAAAACACGTCAACCTGAAAGAGGAAGATGGTTAGCTTCCTCACTTCCTTTTGTCTTTTTCAGCAACACGCTCAACAGATCAAGTGCTGTAGATGCCCCCCAGATCTGCAGGGCTTAACCTCACATTTGTGAATCACACGGTCAAAGACAATTGAAAGTGAACACATAACACACTCAGACAAAACAGACGTGACCTGGAGTGTGTCAAAGTGTTGTTTCCTGGATCAGTAGAAGAGAGAAGCTACCGGTGGTGAGAGTCTCTTCTCTTCCTGTGTGTTTTGTATATGTGGTGCTTCCTTTTCCTGAGGTTGACAGTAACTTTCAAACAAGGTCATAAACAAAAGAAGTATTTTTAAATAACCTTACCTTTAGAACTCTAGAGCGACTCGACAGAACTGGGTGACTATCGCTGAAGTAAGTTTCTCAACTGATGTCAACTCCACAAGCTGTCAAAACAGCCGTATAAGAAGTGGAGAAAGCTGCAATCTAACAAAATACCACCTCCTGTGAAGTGTTTCAGCGCAAAGGGGTCTGACTGCACTCAATTTCAAAGCCCTGCTTGAAAAGAAAATAACATGTCACAGGGTCGAAAGGGAAGATAAGCACGGAGAGGATGTGGCAAAGAAGAAGGTATCACTTCCTCTTTGTGATACTCGTTTTGCAGATAAGGGCGTTAATGTTCTGAGTCACGTACTGCGTTTGAAACTTTAATAATAAGTAGGTGTAGAGAGAAAACGGAAACAGGGAAGACTCGGTGCTAAATGTTTTGTTTGGACAACCACACTTCAGGAGGGACGGCAGAAGCGTGACTCTCAGAGGCTTGAAACACTCAGACTCGACTCACACATCTCCATCTGTGACCGGATCAATTTGCCGCCGTCTGGTCTTCACATTCTCCAGCAAAAAAAAAAGAGAGAAAGAAATATAGACAGCAGAACATAAAAGCTCTGCATGTGAACCAGATTTGTTGGAGAAAAGAAAAAGGACCACCCATCAGCCAGACGAAGGGGCAATTTGGGGGATGTGGAAGGTTACCATAGCAACAAAGGAACGAGACAAGAAAATAAAAGGTCTAAAATAAACCTATAATTCCTTTAGCTAAACCCAAATTGCAGGAATTGGCTGTTCCAAAGGCAATTTCGCTCAAAACACAGAAGCGAATCTAACCCATCGCACACGTAAGAGACAAAATGAAATTCTCATTCTGTTTTATTTCAGGCATTTATTTCTTGATAGGCAAGATTATAAAAAAAAACGAGAAGCGCACAGGGGTGAGACATCAAAACGCAAGCGTGGTTTAGATTGATTCATCCACTCTCTTCATAATTCATCCCCGGCTTTCAAATGCATGAGTAGTCGTGCATGGTACATCTTAGCACATCTCCAGGTGGCACGGCGGGCTCCTGCTCTGCTTCAGGAGAGCCGAGTGAGGGTCCAGACCTCCTCGGAGACTCGTTTGAAAAGGCCGGGTCAATACGAAGATACTCTGACTCATGAATCTCCTGTGGCTGAGAGCGCTGCACTTAAAGCAAAACAGCAGCAGCTCTTATGGCTTGAGAAGTGGTGTGCATGTTCAGAGAAAAAAAGGACCATTCCTAGTTCAGTTATCAAGTAAAAGCAATTATATATATTTATATATAGTTGTAGTAATATACAAACAAAGCATTTTCAGATATCTTATAATATATAATACATGGCATTTTCAAGTTTTCTTAAAGGAATAGTTTGGGGAAATATACTTATTCGCTTTCTTGTCAAGAGTTACACGAGAAGATCAGTAACACCACACATGAAGCTACAGCCAGTTAGCTTAGCCTAGCATAACGCTAGAAGCAGAAGGTAACAGCGCTGTATTGAAAAATGCAAAATACAGCAAGTTAAAGTGTATTTGGTAATGAGTTACAACAATAATCTGACTCTGTGATATCTGTTTTACTTAGTATGCCATACGAATGTAACTTTTCTTGTTAAAAACAACTTTTTTTTAATTGTTACTCTCAAATCTAGCTTAAGCTACTGTAAATCGATAATGTAATGAGACAGCCAACTAGAAAGCTTAAGAAAGGGAGGTATATCATCTCTAAGCTAGCTGTTGAGTTGAGCCTTAGGTAAAGCTTTTAAATTGTTATTTGACGAGCAGTTCCTCATGTCTTAATGCTAAGCTAACTGGCTGTTAGCTTTAAATGTAGCGATATCCATCTTCTTATCAAACTCTTGACAGTTAAACAAATAGGCCTATGTCTATTTCCCCAAAATATACTTTTAATATTTACAGAAATGTTTTTTTAGATACTATCTAATATATAACAGTATTTCCAGCTTTTAGTTATCAGTTTAACACAAATGTTTAAACATTCGGCCCTCGTTTATTTCTCTTTTGACGGCTGTGTATTTAAAAGGCTAAAAGGTTGCAGGGTTTCCTTGGTTGCATTTAACATTTAAAAAAAGGAATAAATAAATACTGACATTTGGAGAAGATTAATAACTAACATTCAAAGCCTTTTTCCTGATTCTCCCCCTGGGTCGTTTTAAGTCCAACATAATTGTGACTTTCAGTCCCAGTTGGTGTCCTCCAGTGTCCAGACTGCCATGTATAATCAGCACAGGCAGAGCAGCGTTCAGAAGTAATATCAGGGGGGTGAAACTGGAACAGTTCACTCAGAGTTTTTGTAGTTGGTGAAAAGGTTGTAGAGGACTCTGAGGGTGGACTTCAGGTTCAGGTTGACAACATCTGGAAAACAAATGGGAGATAACAGACTTATTAGAGTTTGACAAACATGTTTTTAAGGGGGATTCTGGAAGACAATTAGACCTTTGATGGTCACAAAAACTAATCTTTTAAAAGCTCCTTGAAACATTAAGCACGAAATAAATGAGCTTATCTGCCATAAAATCCTATTTACAATGCAAAGGAGCTCTCATTGCGATTTTTGCTGTTGGACTACTTTCCTTTAAAGGTTATTTGTAATTTTAAGGAAATGGAGCTTAAAATAGCTCATCATAGATCATATGATGTATTACGTCGTACAAGGAGAGAAAAACACTTTCTGTTCCCTTCATCAGTAACATGCTGTGCTACATAAGTGCTTATTGTAATATCTCATCACATGAAGTTCTAGGTTAAGTTATTCAAGCCAGACATCATTGTGTTACAGCTGGGCTATTTAAACTAAGATGCATTAAGCTCATTATTGTCTGCATTTTGGGTGACACTGTTGATATCATTAAAAGCAACTTGTGTTTACTATGCACCTGCTGATATTCAAAAGTCTTGGCAAACCATTTACTAATTAGAAGACTGGAGTATGAGAGTTGGAGCATAATATCAGTTTGAAGATAATAACTATAATGTCCAATTATCGCAAAACATTGTGTTTTGGTGTGAAGAAATGTTTAGTTTCTGACTTAGTCAAAAATAAATGTGAGTAGAAGGAAAACTAATTTGCATTTATACAGTGGAGGGAAACAATATTTACACATTTTGAAAGGTAGTCCATACTGGTTAAAGATTCATATATGTATTAATATATTAACAACATCCACAGCTGTGCAGTATAATACTTAGTTACCATCTCCAAGGACTGTGAATAGAGCAATTATAATAAAATGGAGATATACCGACATAGAAAACAGGAAATGTTAAAGAGTAGTTTAAGCGGAATAAATAATAAAAACAAAGATCAAAAGCAAAAGCATGTGCGGTAAGTAGGAGAATATACTGTATATAAGTAAGTAAATTAAAACTGGGTTGCAGGATATTAAATATTAAGAAATATGGGACAAGAATGTGGAGCGAAATGTGAATATTTTAAGTAATGTAGCTCTGAGAATTATGTAAGAGAGTATTACATTGTACAGTATGTATATTTAATATTCCTAAATGAGGCATACAGTATGAGGAGCCCCAGATATGGCTCTTACATTATATTACGGTCTGGGTGAATACTCAATTCTGATTGGCTGCAGGATGGCAACTGTAACACTGCAATAAGAACACTGCACCTCCTAACTTATTGATAGTGTTTATTACACATTCACTTTTAAATATGGATCTAGTTTTGTTGTTAAACATACAGTCAAAATGTATTTACTTTGAATTATGCAAGCACTAGGTTAGATTTCAGGCTCATAGCGAGTGGACTAGAAATATTATGGGATGGTAATGATGCTCCAGGTATTAGTCATACCCTCAGATGATATCAGGGAGTTAGGGATTATAAAAAAACTTTACATTTTGATTAAAAAGAAATCAATTAATGCCTTGCAATTTTATTTTTCTGTGGCAAGTGACCATGATAAAAGCGGTTTTCAATTATCAAGAAGTAATGGACTTCGGCTCCTTTCCCGTCATCAATTAATTCCTGATAATGGACACTTGTCGGGCATTATCCCTCACATATGCCGGGATTGTTTGGTGACAGAGAAGATTTCCATTAAACTGAACAACAACAACAAAGTGGAATATATTATTCTACCAATATCAAATCCTGTGGCTTAATGTAAGTTACAGTTTCTGATTTAAATTTGAATGCTTCAATAAAGCAAAAATACTGATTACAGTTTAAGTACGTGATCAGTCAACTGTATTAGATCACGCTCTGAAAGCTATTTCTGTAATAGCATTTCCAACTCTACAGGGGGGATGCAGAGTCAAATGGGTAAATAAAATGCAAATATCTGCATCTCTATTAATAACCAATAGAAAAAGCAACAACTATGTGACCCCAGTTAGTCATTTTTTGATTCTTGAAGTATCAGCATTAAATTATATTATAAAAAAGTTTATCCCAGGGCCAAATTAACTCAGCAACATTTATTCAGTATGAGAGTTTAAGGTTGAAGCAAGGTCTCCATCTACTGGACATATGACAACCATTAAACATTGTTTTTAGAGGGTCTTTTCAGCAAGTAATCTAGGTTAGTCTCCATAAAGTCTCCTCTGGGAAATTGTCTTCTGATCTTGTAATTGTGTAACACATCTATAAAATACCTTCTGGTCTGGCTTTGGGTTTCTTCAGGCCTCCATCCTGCATCAGCTCAAAGGCAAACGCCACATTGTGGACCTGCAGGGTAACAACATGCAAACTCAATTCAGTGATGAGTTGCTAAAAGTCTTCTTTTTTGACTGACAATTTCCACTTTTTGAGGAGGTTTACTCACCTTCTGTTCGAAGCTCTCAGGAGTGAGGAAGAAGTTGAACAGAGGAACAAAGTAGTCTTCGAGCAGCCCCATCAGCAATATCAGATACACGCCATCAGCAAACTGGACACACACGGATATAAACAGTATTAATGTCTATACGAAAATTCACGGCAAATACAATATTAAACTGAACAAGTAAAACAGATTGGATTCTTATGCATGCACATTAAATGATGATGAGACAATAAAATACAATATTTGAAATAAAATTGTTAAATAACACCATTTTAATTTTAAATGGATCGCAAGGCTGTCCTTTTGAATCGGCCCTCAGCAAATTCAAAAAGTAGAATGGAGTACGGCCCACAAATGAAACATGTGCTTGTCTTGTGTTGTATTGTACTTCTTAAATATAGATTAAAACACATATTACACAGTAGTATTCATGAGTTAAGAAGCCCAC